CTGCTGCTGCAGCAACAGATATGCTGCTGGTTCTGCTGCTGCTGAGCTGCTGCAGGGTGTTGAGTTTAGCAGCAAAAGAGAAGCAAAAAGCGGCAGTTTGCTGCTCTAAGTACACTTACAGCAGCAGCTGCTGCTGCTGCTGCTGCTGTGTGGGGCTGTGTGGGGCGATGCTGCAGCCGAGTGTAGTAAACCCTAAACCCTAAACCCTAAACCCTAAACCCTAGCAGTGAAACCCTAAACCCTGAACTCTAAATATATACTTTCAGCAGCAAAATACTAAACTCTAAACCCTTCATTAAACAGTAAACCCTAAACCCTAAACCCTAAACCCTAAACCCTAGAAGGCAATGAACGCGAAGCCTCGATGTATGGACCCTACAAACTACGGCGCTGCATCTAAACCCTAAACCCTAAACCCTAAACCCTAAACCCTAAACCTAAAACCCCAAATTATATATCACAAACCCTAAACGCTAAACCCTAAACCCTAAACCTAGACCTAAAGCTCTAGGCCTTAAACCCTTAACCCTCAACGTAAAACCCTAAACCCTAAACCTTGAGCCTAAACCCTAGACCCTAAACCCTAAACCCTAACAACTGAATCTTCTAGGGGAGCAAATGCAGTTAAACACTCAAATTTTTTTTTATTTTTGTTGTATTCTAGGGTTTAGGGTTTAGGGTTTAGGGTTTATATAAGGGGCTGAACAACGCTGCTGCTGCTACCGCTACACAAGCTGCTGATGCTTGTTGCTGCTCTTGCTTGCTGCTGCTGTTGCTTGTTCCTGCTGCCTGTTCCTGCTGCTGCTACGATTCTATTTGCTGCTGCTGCCAGGGCGATGTTTGCTGCTGCTGCTTCGAGCAGCTGCAGCAGCTGTACTCGCTGCTGCTGCTCACCGCAGCGGCCTGCAGCTGCTGCTGCTAGCTGCTGCTGCCGTTACAGCCACTACGCTATTGCTGCTGCGGATCTTGCTGCTGCTGCTGCTGCTGCTGCTGTTACTATTACTACACTACTGCTGCAGCGCTTCCTATTGCTGCTGCTGCTGCTGCATCGCCGCCAGCTGTGTCTGTCGGAGCAGCTGCTGCTGTTGCCGTTCAAAGAGCTGCTGCTGGTGGTTAGCTGCAGCAAACTCTCTGCTGCTGTCGTGGGCGAGAGATGCAGTGCCTGTGAGTTGCTGCTGCTGTTGCTGCTGCTGCTGCTGCTGCTGCTGCGTTTGTTGTAGCGTCCCGCAGCAAGGAGCAGCAAACCCCTTCAGGCCCCCACGGCGCTGCAGAAGCAACGCGAACCAAACGGACCCAGAAGCAGCAGCAGCAGCAGCAGCAGCAGCAGCAGCAGCAGCAAGAAAGTGAGCAGCAGCAGCAGCACCGACACATGCAGCGACAGGAGCAGAAGAAGCAGCCGCAGGAACGCAACCCACAGAAAGCACAGCAATCGCAGCAGCAGCAGCAGCGGCAGCAGCAGCAGCTGCAGCAGTAGCAGTAGCGGCGGCAGCAATAGCAGCAGCAACAGCGTAGCAGCAGCAACAGCAGCAGCTGCTGCTGCTGCTGTTGCTGCAGCACAGTTGCTGTTGGTATATGAATCTAAATTAAGAAAGCGGAAGAAGCCAAGTTTGCGATAGTTGTTTTTGCTGCTGCTGCTGCTGCTGGTGATGCAGCAGCTGCTGCTGCACGGTGTCACCTGCTGTGCTGCTGCATCTGCTGCTGCCTCTACTCATCTGCTGCCCTTCCAGCAGCAGCAGTTGCTGCTCTCGCTTATGAGATTATCACAGCAGCAACTGCTGCTGCTGCTGCTGCAGCAACAGCAGCAGCAGCAGCAGAACCAGCCCCTCCCTCCCAAGTGGACTAAAGACAGCTGATATGGCTGCCGACGCAGCAGTTGCTGCTGCTGCAGTGGGTGCTGCTGCAGCGTCGTCAGCTGCTGCTGCTGCAGCTGCTGCAGCTGCTGCAGCGGCGTGCTATTCATGCCGGTGCTTCTTAGATGGACGCGAACCCTCATACGTAACCTGCAGCAGCAGCAACAGCAGCAGCAGCAGCAACATCAGCAGCAGCAGCAGCAGAAGCAGAAGCAACGCCAGCCACATAAGGGCCAACGGCAGAACAACAGACTCAGCAACAGCAGCATCACTGCAACTGTAGCAGCACAGAAGTAGCGGCAGCAGCAGTAGCTGCAACAGCAGCAGCAGCAGCTGCAGCGGTGGCAGCAGCTGCAGCAGCACAGCAGCAGCAGCAGCAGCTTAACACCTACTTCGTCGTCGCTTCTACGATTCCGACGGCTATGCTTCCTGTCGCTGCAGCACACAGCAGCAGCAGCAGCAGCAGCAGNCAGCAGCAGCAGCAGCAGCAGCAGGCGGATGAGCTGCAGCAGCAAGGCCCAGTGGCAATACATCAGAACCATCACCAGCAGCAAGCAGTAGCAGCAGCAGCAGCAGCAACAGAAACAGCAGCAGCAACAGCAGTAACAGCAACAGTTTAATAACACCCATCAACTCTCACTCATCGGAGTCCGAATCGCTGCTGCTGCTGCTGCTGCTGCTGCTACTGCTGCTGCTGCTGCTGCTGCTGCTGCTGGATCTTTTCTTTCGCTTCTTTTCCTTTTTCTTTTTCTTCTCCTTTTTGTGTTTCTTCTTCTTTTTGTCCTTCGACTTTTTGCTGCTCCTAAACACCACAACACACAAACACCTGCTGCTGCTGCTGCTGCTGTTCGTGCTGCTGCTGGACTTGTTGCTGCATCTCCTGCCGCAACGCCGCTGCTGCTGCTGCTGCTGCAACTGCTGCTGCTGACGCATCTGCTGCTGCTACTGCACAGCCTGCTGCTGCCCTGCTGCTAAACCCTAAACCCCCACCCCACCCAGCAACTCGAATAGTAAGCTCTGTATCTCAAACCCTAAACCCTAAACCCTAAACCCTAAACCCGAATGCTGACTTTTGTTTCTTTTTGTCTTGACGAAGAGGAGAAGCAGCATCTGCTGCGAGGTTGCCAGCAGCAGCAGCAGAAGCAGCAATGTCAGCGGGGTCGTCGCCCCACAAACCCCGCCCAGACGGCCCCTCCTCCAGTTTGTGCCGCATACGATTCAAACGCTCGCCTGCAGCAGCAGCAGCAGCAGCAGCAGCAGCAGCAGCAGCAGCAACAGCAGCAGCAGCAGAAGCAGCAGTAATATGCAGCAATAGCAACAAAAGCAGCAACAACCACAACAACAATGGAAGCGAAAACTGCACAAGCAGCAACAGCAGCAGCACTACCAGCAATGCCAACATCAGCACCAGCAGCAGCAGCAGCAGCAACAGCAGCAGCAGCAGCAACAGCAGCAGCAGCAGCAGCAGCTGACCTATAACGGAGTCATATATTTTAGCTAGTGTGGCTCCTTCGCCTTGCTGCTGCTGAATTTGCTGCTGCATTTCCATCGCTCTTCTTTTGTGGATGTCGCTGTGCACCTTGCAAAACATCTTCAGCTGTACGTACACCACAAACAAATATATATTTAAAATTCTGCTGCTGCTGCTGCTGCTGCTGCTGTTGCTGCTGCTGCTGTTGCTGCTGCTGCTGCTGCTGCTGCTGGTGATGCTGCTGCTCGTGCTGCTACTGCTGCTACTGCTGATATTGCTGTTACTCCTCCTGCGCCGGATGATGATGTTTCTGCTGCTGCTGCTGCTAATCCTGCTGCTGATTCTGGTGTTGCTGCTACTGCTGCTGCTATTGCTGCTGGTTCTGCTGCTGCTGCTGCTGCTGCTGCTGCTGCTGCTGCTGCTGCTGTGGCGTACCGTGCAGTACGGGCAGGTGGCGGTGCTGTTGTGGTCTCGGCGCCTCATTTTCGCTGCAGTGTTTGCTGCTGTTCTTGCTGCTGCTGCTGCTCTTGCTGCTGCTGCAGCTGCTCGGCCCTGCTGCTGCAGGCGCCCTCGAAGCTAATGTTGCTGTTTGCTGCTGCTGATGAAGCAGCACCACAACGGTCTTATCTAAGGCAGCAATGAGCTGTCCGTCGTGCTAAGGGTGCGGCTGAGCTGCTGCTGCTGCTGCTGCTGCTGCTGCTGCCGCTGCTGCTGCAGGCACCACCTACAGCTGCCAACTTGCGGGCATTTGTCACTGCAAGTATGTGCTACTACTACTACTGCTGCTGCTGCTGCTGCTGCTGCTGCTGCTGTGGCGGTTGCTGTTGCGTGTTCTGGCGCCACCGGCGTTAAGCACCACAGCAGCAGCTGTTGCTGCTGCTCCTGCTGTTGCTCCTGCTACTGCTGCTGCTGCTGCTGCTGCTGCTGCACGGCCCGGGATCTACGGCAGCGGTGAGGCAGCTGCGAGCAGCTGCTAGATCCGCGTTGTTGTTCTTCCCCTGGGTTTTGCTGCAGTGAGTTTCAGCAACTTGTGCTGCTGCTGCTGCTGTTGCTGCTGCTGCTGCTGCTGCTGCTGCTGGTGTTGCTGCTGCTGCTGCTGCTNGCTGCTGCTGCTGCTGTTGCTGCTGCTGCTGCTGCTGCTGCTGCTGGTGTTGCTGCTGCTGCTGCTGCTGCTGCTGGGTCTGGAGCGACGGCGGCGACCTTCAGGTCGCAGAGACAGACAAATACGCCACAGAGCAGATGAGGCCGTTTAAGCCGACAAATCTGCTGCTGTTGCTCTTGCTGCTGCTGTTGCTGCTGCTGTTGCTGCTGCTGAGGAGACTGGGACAGCAGCGAACACTGGCTGCATGCAGCCACTCGCTGCAGCAGCAGCAGCAGCAGCAGCAGCAGCAGCTTCTCCTGCTGCTGCAGTGCCTTGTCTGTTTTTTGGTGATGTGCAGCAGCAACCGCTGCAAATCCAACTCTAAACGGACAAAACTCCATTAAGCAGCAACGATAACGCAAAGAGAAGGGGGCAGCAGCAGCAGCAGCAGCAGCAGCAGCAGCAGCAGCAGCAGCAGCAGTGAGGCCCTAGGGACCGCTAGTGGAGTCACAGCAGCAGCGTCTAAAGGGAGTACAGATCCACAAAAAAACAAAACACATCGTCTTCTGCTGCTGCTGTCTATGGCCGTGCACTAAGGGTTTAGGGTTTAGGGTTTAGGGTTTAGCAGTGTGTACAGGGAACCGTGCAGCTTCTGCTGAGGCTCTTGCATACACACCAGCAGCAGCAAGCCAGTAGCAGAAACAGCAGCAGCAGCAGCAACAGCAGCGACAGCAGCAGCAGCAGCAGCAGCAACAGCAGCGACAGCAGCAGCAGCAGCAGCAGCAGCAGCAGCAGCAACTACGATGAGCTCCGTGGCCCCTACACAGAACGGCGCAGCGCAGTTGGCTGCGAACGGCTCCACGCCTGGCGGGCCTTCACGTTCAAAGAAGGAAAAAAGCAGCAGCAGCAGCAGCAACAGCAGCAGCAGCAGCAGCAGCACAAGCAACATGGATTCTCCAGCTAACATGTTTGAGGCTGCTGCTGAGCGAGTTGAGCAGCAGCAGCTGCTGCAGAAGCAGCAGCAGAAGGCTCGTGCTGTTGCTCGTCCTTCCCTAGATGAGGCAGCAGCCCTACAGCGAAGTGCAGCAGCAGCAGCAGCTGCGCCTGCAGCCGTATCAGCAGCAGCAGCAGCAGCAGCAGCAGCAGCAAACGCCAGTAAGGCGGTAGATAGGGATTCTCTACTGCAGCAGCTGCAGCAGCAGCGCGAGGCCTTTGCTGCAGCACAGCTGCGGATGCAGCATCAGCACGAGCAGCAGCTGCTGCTGCTGCAGCAGCGAGAGGAGAAGCTGACGAAGCAGGCGACAGGGGCCCTGCAGCGGATGAGAGCAGCGCATGCAGATGCCCTGCAGGAGCAGCAGCAGCAGCACGAGAAGGCCATGCAGGAGCTGCAGCAGGCACGTTGCTGTTGCTGCTGCTGCCGCCGTTGCTGCTGCTGCTGCTGCTGCTGCTACGGCAGTTCGTGCTGTTGCTTCTGTTGATGCTGCGATTCATATTGCTGCTGCTGCTGCTGCTGCTGCTGCTGCAACCGTGTCTTCTTGTTTGCTGCAGGAGGTGAAAGGTCTCCAGCAGCAGCTGCAGCAGGAGCAGCAGCAACGCCTTGAAAAGGAGCAGCAGCTGCTGCAGCATCAGAAGCAGCAAAAGGCAAGGCCCAACAACAGCACCATCTCCCTTAGCTGTTGCTGTTGTAGCTGCTGTTGCTGTTGCTGCTGCTGCTGCTGCTTTGGTTTCTGCTGTTACTGCTGCTGGATATTGCGCTGCTAATGCGGTGGTGTCGGTTTGCTGCTGCTGCTCGTGCTGCTGCTGCTGCTGCTGCTGCTGCTGCNTGCTGCTGCTGCTGCTGCTGCTGCTGCTGCAGGACTCCGCAGCGACTCAGGAAGAAGCAGAGAGACAACTGGAAAAGCTGCAGCAGCAGCACGCAACGCTGCAGCGGCAGCACACTGCAGCAGAGTATGCTATTTTGCTGCTGCTGCTGCTGCTGCGGGTGCTGCTGTTTGCTCTGTCTTTTCTGTGTCTCCCACAGCAGCAACTGTCGATGAGTGTTGTTGCTGCTGCTGTTGCTGCTGCTGCTGCTGCTTCAGGGATGAGCTGAAGACAGCTGCTAAAAAGTACGAGGCCTTGTCGGTGGAGCTGCAGCAGCAGCAACAACAGCAGCAGCAGCAGCAGAAGCAGCTGCTGACAATACAAGAAAATCTCTCGCGTGTAAGGCTGTGTTTACGTTGCTGCTGCTGCTGCTGCTGCTGTTGGAGCTCGCCTTGCTGCTGCTGTATCTGGTACTGCATCTGCTGCTGCATCTGCTGCTGCGTCTGCTGCTGCGTGCTTGCAGGAGGCAGAGCAGCGCGAAGCCTCCGCTGCTGCTGCAGCTGCAGCACAGGAAGAGAAGCGGCAGCTGCAGCAGCAGCTGGAGCAGCTACAGTTGCAGCTGAAGCAGCAGCTGCAGCAGCAGCAGGATGTTCATGCTCTCAAGCAGCAACTTGAGCAGCAGCAAGGTGAGGCGGAAGGACTGAAGCAGCAGCTGCAGCAACAGCAGCAGCAGAAGCAAGATGAGGTTGCTGCCCTCAAGCAGCAGCTGGAGCAGCAGCAGCAGCAGCTAGAGCAGCAGCTGAAGCAGCAGCAAGAAGAGGCAGAAGGCCTGAAACAGCAACTGCAGCAACAGCAGCAGCAGCAGCAAGAAAAAGTTACTGGGCTCACGCAGCAACTGCAGCAGGAACAGAGTGAAGTGGCTGCCCTCAAGCAGCAAATGCAGCAGCAGCAGCAGCAGCTAGAGCAGCAGCTTGAGCAGCGGAAGGATGAGGCTGAAGGGCTGAAGCAGCAGCTGCAGCAACAGCAGCAGCAGCAGCAAGAAGAAGTTGCTGAGCTTAAGCAGCAACTGCAGCAACAGCAGCAACTGGAACAGCAGCTTGAGCAGCAGAGGGGTGAGGCTGAAGGCCTCAAGCAGCAGCTGCAGCAACAACAGCAGCAGCAGCAAGATGAAGTTGCTGAGCTTAAGCAGCAATTGCAGCAGCAGCAGCAGTCGGAGCAGCAGCTGCAGCAGCAGCTAGAGCAGCAGCAAGATGAAGTTGCTGACCTGAAGCAGCAACTGCAGCAGCAGCAGCAGCTCGAGCAGCAGCTGAAGCAGCAGAAGGATGAGGCTGAAGGCCTTAAGCAGCAACTGCAGCAACAGCAGCAGCAGATAGAGCAGCAGCAAGATGAAGTTGCTGACCTTAAGCAGCAACTGCAGCAGCAGCAGCAATTGGAGCAGCAGCTAAAGCAGCAGCAAGATGAGGCTGAAGGCCTCAAGCAGCAATTGCAGCAGCAGCAGCAGCAGCAGCAAGATGAGGGTGAACGCCTGAAGCAGCAACTGCAGCAGCAAGAACAGCAGCTGCAGCAGCAGCTGCAGCAGCAGAAAGATGAGGCTGAAGGGCTGAAGCAGCAACTGCAGCAGCAGGAACAGCAGCTGCAGCAGCAGCTGCAGCAAAAGAAAGATGAGGCTGAAGGGCTGAAGCAGCAGTTGCAGCAACAGCAGCAGCAACAGCAAAATGAAGTTGCTGAGCTGAAGCAGCAGCTGCAGCAACAGCAGCAAGTGGAGCAGCAACTGAAGCAGCAGAGGGATGAGGCTGAAGGCATCAAGCAGCAACTGCAGCAGCAGCAGCAGCAACAACAAGATGAAACGAAAGGTCTTAAGCAGCAAGTAGACGATGTATGCCGCTGCGCAGCTGCTGCTGCTGCTGTTGCTGCTGTTGCTGCTGTTGCTGCTGCTGCTGTACTCGAGATATATTGCCTCTGCTGCTGTTGCTTCAGTGTTGCACTGACGCTTCTCCTGCTGTAGCTGTTGCTGCAGCAGAGACAGATTTGCTGCTGCTGTGATGCGTTGTGCCGCTGCTGCTGTTGCTGCTGCTGCTTTCAGCTCACCCGAAAGCTGCTGCTGCAGCAGGAGGAGCTCCAAAGGAGCAGCAGCGCAGCAGCAGAAGAAGCTACAGCAGCAGCACAGCAGCGAATCGCAGACCTTGAGGGTGACCTGGAGTGAGTTCCCGTTGCTGCTGCTGCTGCTGCTGCTCCTGTTGCTGCTGCTGCTGCTGCTGCTGCTGTTGCTACTGCTGGTTTGGCAGCAGGTTGTGACGATGCAGCCTTATGTTTTTGTGTTGCCTTTCAGACAAAGCCGTGTCGCTGCAGCTGCAGCGAACGCAGAGCTGCAGCAGTTGCAGCAGCAGCTGCAGCAGCAACAACAGCAACTGCGGCGGCAGCAGCAGCAGCTGCAGCAGCAGCAGCAGCTGGTGCAGCAGCGTAAGGAACAGCAGCAAAAGGCAGGGGAAGGCGGGAGCGAAGGTGAGCAGGGTGAGGGGTGCCGCTGTGTTCAGGTGTATCGACAGCTAGCAAGAAACACAACTCAGCTGCTGCTGCTGCTGCTGCTGCTTCTGCTGCTTCTGCTGCTGCTGCTGCAGGCGACTGCACCGCCACCAAAAAGCCCCAAAGACAACAGGCAGCAGCAACTGCAGCAGCAGGCAGCAGCGGACGGCTGGCGAATCGCGTGGATGCCCCCTTGAGGTAAGCCTAGCTCAGCAGTTTTGCTGCTGTTGCTGCTGCTGCTGCTGCTTGCTGCTGCTGCTTCTGCTTGCTGCTGCTGCACCCGCTGCGCCTGCCCGAGTCCATCCTGCTGCTTCTTCGGATGCTCTGCTGCTGCTGCTGCCTTTCTCGCTCGCTGGCGTGCTGGTGCTGTTGCTGCTGCTGCTGCTCCTGTTTCTTCTGTCTTTCTGTGCGTTGTGCATATTTGATGAGGCCTGCAACTTGCTTCTGCTTGCTGCTGTTGCTGCTGCTGCTGCTGCTGCTGCAGGACTTTGCTGCGGCTGCTGCTGACCAGTGGTTATGCCCGCGTCGCTGCTCTGCTGTACTTTTTGCTGATGAACGCTCTCGTGGTGCTGCTGCTTAGGAGAGCTGCTTGCTGATAGACACCTGCAGCAGCAGCAGCAGCAGCAGCAGCAGCAGCAGTTGCAGCAGCAGTTTTAGCAACGAACACAGCTGCAGCAGTAGCAGCAGCAGCAGCGGCAGCAGCCGCAGTTTGAAATGCATGAAGTTTGGCGCAGCAAATGTAGATTCCTCCAATCGGAGATGTTTTGTCTAGGGTTTAGGGTTTAGGGTTTAGGGTTTAGGGTTTGGGGTTTAGGGTTTAGTACAGCCGCAACGACCGAAGCTGCAGCAGCAGCAGCCCCAAACCTTGGGAATCCCTAAAACCCTAAACCCTCGTGGCACTGAAACGTATAAACCCTAAACCCTAAACGCCAAAACAGGTGGACCCTGCGGCGTCGTTTTTCGTTAAGCCCGAGTCGCCCTTTGTGTTTGAGGCTGCGGGTTTACAAGCTGAGGGTTTAGGGTTTACGGTTTAGGGTTTAGGGTTTAGGGTTTAGGGTTTAGGGTTTACAACTGGTGAGCCTTTGAGCGCTCAACTTTGTTAGACTTCATGGTTTTTCTAGGGTGCTCTTGGACCTAGGGTTTAGGGTTTGTGGCTTAGGGTTTTGTGGGCTTCAGTTAGGGTTTAGGGTTTAGGGTTTAGTTAGGTGTTTTTGGGATTAGTGTTTAGGGTTTAGAGTTTATGGATTAGCAACGGTGTTATTGGGCTTACAGCTCCTCGCCTATTGTGTAGAGTTTAAGGGTTTAGGGTTTAGGGTTTAGCGTTTAGACTAAACCCTAAACTGGACGGTAAACCCTAAACCCTTATACATTAGACGATAGTCTAGGGTTTGACGCGAGGCTACTAACTGTGGCGTTATCAGCTGGAAAGCAGCACAAAAAGAAGGGTTTAGGGTTTAGGGTTTAGGGTTTATTCACCCAGTGGACTGAACTAGCTACGGCGACAGACCTCAGGCCGATCTGAATTAGTGTTTAGGGTTTAGGGTTTAGGGTTAAGGCTTGAGCCATTATAAATTAGGGTTTAGGGTTTGGTGTTTAGGGTTTAGGGTTTAGGGTTTAAATAAAAAAAAGCCACCAATGGGAATCGAACCCACGACCTTCGGTTTACAAGACCGATGCTCTACCACTAAGCTATGATGGCGACTGCGTGTGGTGAGTTTGTTGTATAAATGCTTTTTCTAGGGTTTAGGGTTTAGGGTTTAGGGTTTACTTGTTTTTTACTTTAGTTTAGCAATTAAATATTTGCCTTTTAGGGCGAGACAGTGAGACAAAATACACTGTAGGGTTTACGGTCGAGGGTTTAGGGTTTAGGGTTTAGGGTTTAGGGTTTAGTGTTCAGGGGTTGAGCGAACGAGTGTGTTGCAGCTGCTCTACTAATTCGTCTTCTTTTTATTATTTGTCTTAATTAATATTCTTTTTAATTATTTTATTTTAATATAAACAATTTTATTTAAGTTTAGCTTTCCCTCCTACTTTGTTTGATATTTAGGGTTTAGGGTTTCAGGTCTAGGGTTTAGGGTTTGTTGGGTTTCTCTGCTCGTGTGCAGCATGAAGGGTTACACAATAAAACAAAAGGTTATGTTTGTTGTAGTTTTTTATCTGCTGTCTTTTTCGTTTGTTTGTTCCCAGTTTTGCTCAGGTTTAGGGTTTAGGGTTTCAGGCTTAGGGTTTAGGGTTTAGGGTTTAGGATGGCCTGCTGCTCGGCCTCACAAAACCTCAGAACCGAGGGAGACAGACACCCTATTGTTCTGGCTGTTGCTGCTGCTGCTGCTTACGCGCTTGCTGCTGCCCTTCTGCTGCTGCTGCTGCTGCTGCTGCTCCTGCAGCTGTTGCTGCCTTCGCAAACACTGCTGTTCTCGCTGCTGCTGCTGGTTCTGCTGCAGCTGCTACGCAGTTACCTGTGTAGCTAGCTGTGTAGCTGTGTTGTTGGGTGTGGCTAGCTAGCTAGCTAGCTGCAGCCTTACACATGAACTACTGTATCCACACCTGAAGCCAACGCCAGCTGGAATACATAAGCAACTGCAGCAGCAGCAGGAAAGCAGCAGCAGCACCAGCTTCAGCAGTAGCAGCACGGAAATATATATATATATATATATATATATATATATATATATATATATATATATATATATATATATATATATAAATGTCAGGGTGATGAGAAGACAAATAGTTAAATACAAATAGTTTTGCGTTTACAACAAAAAACAAAAAATAAAAAAAAAAAAAAAAGAACATCCAGTCGGCTGTACAGGCAGCTCTGAATGTGCCAATGCACAACCAATTAACAGCAGTAGCAGCAAGTGTTGGCTGCTGCTGCTGCTGCTGCAGCTGCTGTTGCTGCTGCTGCTGTTGCTGATGCTGCTGCTGATGCTGCTGCTGCTGTTGCTGCTTATTCTGCACTAACCAGCAGCCGCCTTCTTTTTGCATCTGCCGCATCATTAGAGAGAAGAGGAGGGGACTCAGACTTGAGGTCCTCTGCTGATGCTTCTGCTGCTGCTGCTGCTGCTGCTGCTGTTGCTGCGGTTGCTGCTGTTGCTGCTGTTGCTGCTGCTTGCGGCTCCGACACTGCGGGCACAATCGGGGGCCCATCTCCGCTACTGGCGTATGGGCCCTCTCCTACAGAAGGCGAGGCATTTGCTGCTGCTGTTGCTGCTGTTGCTGCTGTTGCTGCTGCTGCTGCTGCTGCTGAAGACGGCGCCTTCGTGGTCGGCATGTCCAGCCGCCTGCGACCCCGAGAGAACCGTTCACCCTGCAGCAAACAGAAAGCAGCAGCAACAGCAGCAGCAGCACTAGCAGCAACAGCACCCCTAGTACAGCTAGCAGCAGCAGCCCCCCTATCAACACTAGCACCAGAAACAGCAGCAGCAGCAGCAGCAGCAGCATCA